GTGGCGCTCTCAAAGTGCTCTCTGTGGTGCTCTCGGAGGAAGAGCTCAATTTGCTTAGCCAAGAAAGCGAAAAGATCTCTCGCCGTCTTGGCTACCATGAGATTCTTGGGAATGGCGACCTTGTTGTAGGTCAGGTTGAAGGTGCTGTCGCCGTTTAGCGTAACGGAGCAAACGCGAAAGTTGGTGCCGCCCAAGTCAACAGCTAGGTAAATGCCCTGCAAAAATGAAAATAAAGAATCAATTGGTCAGTTGTGCCGTCCGTCAGCGAACTTCTAGAGTTACGGGGACAACTCACTCGCTCTGTGCCGTCTGGTACAGCAGTTACGTATGAGGGAATCTGACTGAGACTGGTTCCATCTACTTTTAATCCCTCGTCTACAATGACGTTAGTGGTGAGCACATGCATGAGCGGCGACCAATGCGCCCGAGGGAATTGGCGCTGAGCTTACTGGTCTGCTTCAAATATTCTTGGACATGGCGATTGAGGTCCTCGTCCGAGAACTCGAACTCGGACACAACCCTGCTGGTGTGCTCTGCTAGGCCCATTGTGAGGACTCGCGACGTTGGGGGTGAGAATGCGAAAGGTGGTAGCGGACAGATGAGCTCGTCGTGGATAGTGAGTTGTGATGTCAATGAAGAGAGAGGCCACAGAACTCTTGGATGGAGATGAAGGAGGGAGAGAAGTTGGCAGGCCCACGGGAGCTGAAGAATGGCAGTTTGTATGTTGGCGTCATGGAGCGCGAGCTGGGCAAGCTAGTTGTTATAAACATTAGCGAACCGGCCACAATCGTCAGTGCCTTATACTTTTCGCGTGATTCCGTGGATGCGCATTTACGCAGCGAGCATGGATAGCACAGGGATTAGCCCCAACTCTGGGGACGGCGCGGGGCGTTTGGCCGAGAGCTCCATGCTTAGCGTAGCCTACCATTGAGTGTCTCCCGCATGCGTAGAGTTCGGCCGGCGAATCAAGGCGTCGTCAGGACACTTCTCTCCACTCGTCACACGCCGGCGGGCTTGTGGGAGGCTTGTGGGAAGCTCACGGCCACCGGAATATCCGTCCTGCTGGACAAAGCTCTGGAATGTTCCTGTTCCCCAACGAGGCGGCATCCACTGAGGAGTAGGCTGTTACGTAGAGACGGGGCAAGAGATGGAGTAACGCGGGCAATGGGGTTTTCCAGAACAGGTACCCTGACTCCTGAGACGCCGGGAGACGAGGCAGAGGAACTATGACGAAGGGGATGCTCGCTCACCGTGGACAGTACAAACAGTACGAGTATGGGCAGCAGCCACACTCGATTGGCGACGGACAGTGTCGACTTCGGCCGTTGGTCTCTTCCTGGTACCACCCTGTCGCCGTGGCCGTCGCGCCACACGGCGCCGAGGCCTCGAACCTTGTCCTCGTGGCACGCCGTTTTGACGTTTTTATCGTGTGCTAACAAGGCAATTAAGCATTTTGGACCCCAATTCCGCCAAGCTACTCCAATTCGTGCCATTACTCACAGTACATGCTCCCACTTACACCCTCACGATCCTCCTGGCACGAGGAACTCGGACAGTTGGGCGTGGAGAGACAATGGCCATGGAGCCACCCGCATACGCAGCTGCGGAGCGAATGTGGCCCAAGCTGGAGACTCTGAAGAAAAGGGCCGTATACCGCGTATGTACTCCGTCCTGCGTACGAGAAGTCTCGTGGTAGAGAGAAAAGCGCGCGATTTTTGGCTTAGTTAGGCTGGGCGACTCAGCGTTCCTCCAGTGGCGTTCATCAAGTGGTACTGCGGACTTAGCCCCTGTATCGTTTAATTTCCCCCCAAATGGCCCGAAGATGCAGGATGCAGGCACAGAGTGCCACTCCAACGCCAGACAACCACCGTCTCCTGGGTCCTGCCGGTGATGACGGGCGATCACGACGCTGCAATGACACGGCCAGATGCAAAGTTTCGCCGAATAGCCTTGCTGCTGACCCGGGAACCGCAGAAAACTCTCGATCCGTAATGCTAGCGTCAGGTGCGCATAATGGTATATGGCGCAAACCAAATCAAGGCGGCGTTGACAAAATATTGAGCCTGTCCGACTTCGCAGAGGAGGCTTGGTTGAAGGTTCGATAAGTAGGGGGTGTCCAGAAAGATAGAGCTGCAAGTAAGAAAAGACTCAATTTGTGCCGCGTCGATAACAATGCCTTCGAGAGGAGAGATAAGACACCCAGAGAGTCAAAAATTCCGGCAGACGTCAATTGTGCTTGCTTCGCTTAGATAAGGGATCTCGTCGATTCGATATCACAACACACGAAAAAAAGGCCTACTCGACTCACAGAATCGCAAACAAGAGAAAGAGCTTCAGCGGCACGAACCAAGAGCTGTCCTCCTTGGGGGCCTTATATCATCCGCGAATGCATAGAAAGATGGGGAACTCTCCTCCCTCGAAAGCGAGCAATCAACTATTGGCGCGGGGAAGCTGGTCTGTTTTCAACAAAGCGACTGGTCTCTAGGTCTTTAAAAAGGCGGTATTCCATAGTAATATCCCCTTGATCACCCACTTTAGCCTAACCCGGAGAACTTTTTTTTCCTTATATGCCGTGTGGATAACTGGCCCATCGATTCAGACTTTTTCGAGTAGAGCCTGGACGGCATCGAGCACCCGCCATTACACATCGTCGTACAGAAGCAATTGTACAGGCAGTAAGAAATTGGACCAGTGCTAGGCCAGATCGTAGCAATGTGGACAAGTGGACCGACCACCTTGCATAGCTGAAGCAAGAGAGGCCAGATGTCATAACGCCCTACCCTGGTTGAAAAAAACCAGTTTGGAATAATATCCGCCTCAGGCCTGTCCCGAGATGATGAGAAATGCAGCCAACAAAAGGCCCGCGCAGAATAAGAAAACAGAATTCCTATGTTCGTCACCTAGCAGCCAACGAGTTAGAGATGGAGACTAAACAGGCCAAGCTGAATTATTCTTACCGTCACGATCGAGGCTGTGTACGACAACCACGAAGACATTCAAAGGCAGCCTAAGAGCACTATAGACTCCACCTCGCGCATAGTCGTCCACTACGTTACTTTTCATGAGGGCCATTTTCGGAAAATATGCGCCCACACAGCCTTCAACGACACAGAATGCCCAAAAGAGCATATACTCGTGGTCCAGCATGGTTGAAATAGCGAATGCCCCAGATGTTATGGCAAATACGAGCATGAGCGTGTTCAACGTACTGGCTTTAGAATACAATGCGTCCTGAATCGCGGAGATTCTCGATCCGGCCATCATGGCGCACATGAAACTCGAGAAGATGAGGCCAAAGGGGAGCTCGTCCTGATTCCCCGACTTTACTCTCACGCTCTTCAAGGCAGCCGACCAGAAAAACACGAAAAGGTACATTGGGCCTTCGAAACAACAAGAAGCAAAGTTCAGAGCCATAATTTTGGGATTGGTTAAAGCTCCAAGCATGCGGTGCTTCAGCTTTCGGGGTCCTAGCGTTTGCTTTGACTTATCGACACTGCCATAGTTTTCTCGCCACATCACCAAAATGAGTACGCCAGCCCCGAAACAGCAGACGAGGCTGGCAAGAAAGGGTCCCAGCCGAGAATCGAACCATTGGACTAGGCCATTCCCTATTATGCCAGAGAATATCGCCGTGATGGTGCTGGTGGTGGTCATGTTTGCAAAAACTTGGCTGAGAGAAAGCATGCTCTCGTCAAGCTGCAATAGACGGTATTCGGTAATCATCCAGGCCTCGAAGACGCTAAATAGCAATGTAGTTGCAATGCCTCCAAAGAAACGGCCGAGGTATAGGGCGTAGAGATTATGGCTCAGCATCGTGAGGCATGTAATCCCGTAGCAGATGCAATATGCAACGCAGGCAGCTCGCCTTCCATAGTGATCTGCAAGTTGTCCTGCAAAGGGGGCGCTTGCAGCACCAGAAACGAACCCTGAGGCGTATAAAAGTGCGACAGTATGTTCTTCGAGCTGCTTTTCGTATTTGTAAACCGCATATGTGTAGGGACCCTATGCCGTAGGTCGCGTCAGGATCAGGACAGCTCGAAGAGAAAAGGAGTCTTCACACACTTGAAGCCAATCGGCTGCAACCACCAAGGCATAGACGAAGAGGAACTCTCGTTGAAACTTGATAGCAACTGCTTCACTTTGTTCATCTCGTGGGACACCACAACGCCGCTGCTTGTGGATCTGAGAGCGATGATGGTAGATGAAAGAAGATACGTTTGCGACGACCAAGATGGCCAGGTTCACTTGATAGAAATCCATTGTGGTTGAATGTAATCAGTCTTGCAATTCACATTCTAAAGAGACTTGGGTTCAGAAGGCGAGTCAATCTCTGACAAAGGTAGTGAGAAGACAGAAAAGCCAGGGAGTATCTGCCTTATGGCCGTTGTGCATGTCCAGGCAATCTGCCGGTGAGCTTGTCATACATCGCTCTTTCCAAGTCTGCCGTCGACCTGTACCCGCCTCTTGAAGGATTTCCCCGAGGCAGGAGCCTCAAGTTGGCAGAGATAGGGAACATGAGGAAGGCACAGGCGTACTGACTTCTTATCTCTTTGCGATAGGATTCATTTTCCTGTTGTTGCCTGCTACCCTGGAATAGCTGATGATGAATTCAACGGACGATTTCGAACAGCAACAACTTCACACAAATTGCCCACTGCATGTCTAGTCTTGTTACATGTAATAGATTCAATTTATCAATCATGCATATATATACTTTTCCTTGAGCCAAAAGATTTGGTTTCATCACCTCAACAATTAGGCTGCCCACTCTAACCAAGTCAGTTGACGGAATGGGCCAGTTCCAGCAACCAGATAAAATAGTTGAGCAAGGAGACGACAGAGAGTTCTCTAATGGGGTTTTAAATGTCCTGCTGAAGTAACCATATGAGAGAAAAACAAAGTGAAAAAAAAAAAAAGAAAAGACAAGAAGAATTCATTCTACCAGTTGGTAAAAAATACACGAAGACTTCATGATGCATTTAGTGAAACGGGCAAAAAAATGCGACCTGTGTGGATCGAACACACGACCTTCAGATAAACTGGTGATTGAAGTAGAGGCTTCAGTCTGACGCTCTCCCAGCTGAGCTAAGGTCGCAAGCTATTTGTTGGAGGATTTGCGAGAGTTAGATGGTATTAGTACCATTCGTTGGTGGGTGGAATTGGGTGGGGACGAACGAAGTGGTTTCCTAAAATTGTTTCTTTGCAATTGACGCGGACAAAGACAGAAACAGAAACAATAGCGGCGGCGGTGGAGCCTTGATGCGGCTCTGTGCCGGTCCCTGGGAGATGGATAAGCTTACACGTGATTGTCGATTCTTTTGGGGCATATTATGATTGAGCAAGCAACCTAGGGACATTCAGAGCAAGATTACTAACTGCCTGCAAGACTCCTATTTCAGTCCAGTTCTATAAATACCGCCCATTACTGTACCAGATGAGCTTCAACGTCGTTCTCATGAGCGGCAATGGACATGTTGATAAACGATTACTAACGCAATGGCCCGTTGCACACGGTTCAGTTTCTGTCAGTCCAGAGGCCCCACCGTTCTCTCCCAAGGGCTGCCCGAACCAACCCCGCCTTGCCCAAACCAAAGTCCTACCCGCCAAGAGCCAAAAGTCCTGGGCTAACATTCTCTCCGATGCCCCTACAGAAGAGGAGAGGAGAGGAGAGGACTCTTGCCTGTGGGTGTGGCACGTTGCATTACTCTGTACTTTTGGTTGCAGGTACTCCGTGCAGCTGTGCCGAGTAGGTTAGCAGCCCGAGGCCTCCATCGACGGTGAATGGTTGGGTTTGCAGCTAGAGGCGAGATGTTGGAATACGGCATGTGTATGTATCTTGTCTCTCGGGTCATTTGGAAACAAAGAACGAGCACGGGGATATTTTTTGCTTGACGCTTGTGGTCGATTTGCGAGTGGCTTCGCCCCGCCACGATCAACGCCTCCACAAATGGCAATGGCTGTGGCAGTACCAAGCACGGAGTGCATGCGAGAGTACGAGAATTTGGGTTGGCAAAGCCCACTTTGTCCACACACTTATAGTATTACGAGTACTCGAACGTGTCGTGCCATTTATGAGATTAGTTAGACGCGGCGACTTTTGCATACAGAGACAGTACAGTATTGGATTTGTCACGCTGAGCAGAGCAGAAAAGAGAGAGGAAGATGAAGAAGCCATCCCGTTCAATGTCTTTGCATTGATTCTATTCTAGATCTGGCCTATCTTTGACTGCATCGCTAGTAGATGGCAAGCTCGCCATTAGCCCCGCCACTGAACCGTGCCATTGGCACAAAGAGCTGCCCGATCCAATATTCGTGTTACTGCTGCTGCTGATCGCTGTCCGAGTTTCTCAGCCGCACGGCCAGCAGATGTAGCCTACAGCCTACAGGTACGAGGTAGGCCTATGAGAGGCCCTGGATGGGGGCACCCTGGCTCTTACACAGGTGCGCTCCCTTGGCTGAACATCTATAGCTCCAAGAGCTGCATGTAGGGATGGAAATGATTTTGTTTGCATCCGTAGAGGAGCAACAAAGACGGCAGAGACAGCAGAGCAAAAAGAGAAAGAGAGGAAGAGGGAACAGGGCACGGGGAGGCACGGGATGGAATCAAGTCAATCAATGTTAGCCTTTCGTGGGCCCCAGAATGAGCAAAGCTAGCGCGTGCAGTTGCACAAACGTCCACGCAATACGGAGTGCATATACTATGGGGAGAGGCGCCTTGACGTCAAGGACGCGGGCGATTTCGTCTTGATACGAAGTGCTTGTGACTTGTGATTCCAACCAGCGCTTTGACACGAGGCAGAGGTGCAAAGGGTGCAGCAGATGAAGGGATACCTTGCATGTTTTGAATTGCAGAGTATCATCTGGTACGGAGCACGTTCGGCAGTCGTCAAGACGGTTTTGATTTTGATGCCATGTGCTGTCATCGAATGTCAGTGTCAGTGTCAGACTGTGTGGTTCTTACTAGGGTGCTGCGCAAGGCACATCGCCAGCCCCGAGGCTTTCTCGAGCTGCGGCTCAGCCCTGCACAGCAAACGGCAATAATCATAGCTAATCATTCAATCTGATGGCCGCTTTTGGTGCGAGAGCTCGCTGCACAGCCAAACTGCACCCTTGGCCGTGCTGCTAAATTCTGACTGCCAGGTCGGCTTGGCCCTATCCCAGCCAAGCCAGCCCTGGGGGGCGTGGGGGAGAGAGAGAACCGAACTGATTTACGAGTACAAGCACGGTAAGCAACTCGTACGAGCGAGGGCCAGCGCAAGTCCTGCCTTCGGTTGTCCTGTGCAGTCCTGGCTGTTGGCTTTGTCACCTCAACTTGGTACTGTGCATGCCCTGGTAGGATCCGATCAAATCAAATCAAATCAAACTGAGCCAGACCAGACCAATTGTGCGTCCTGCATTTTCCCTCCTCCTCTGCTCCATCCAGTCAGTCCGTTTCCCACACCTCAGGCCCTGCATTAACCGCTGAAAGATTCCTCTCTTAGGACTCTCTGCGCGCGCCAGACACTAAAACCGACACCAGCAGACACTTTTCAACTGGACCTGATCTTACCAGACCCGACCTAACCTTTGAAGCCTAAGCCCAATCCTCTCGCCCCGGCAAAGCACCTGCACCCTGCGCCTTCGTCCCCCATCAGCCCTTCTTCTCCCCTCCACTCCTCTTCTTATTTCCCCTTCCCGAGTTGCCCTTCTTTTCCCTCTCCCATATGAGTTCTCTGAACTCCCGCTTCAAGAGCCTTGGTCTCGGCAAACGCAAATCCACCGCCAGCATTCACAGCGTCCAGGGCGTCCCCCCCACCAGCACCGGTACCCCTCCTCCAGGCCAAATACCTCAACAGCATCAGCTTCAACCTCAGTTCCCGCCGCAGACGCTCCCGCAGCCGCATCCCCAGACGCCGCCTCCTCCAGGCTCGTCCGCCAGCCCAATGAACCACCAAGGCCCGGGCGCCCGCCCGCCCAGCTACACGGCTGGCAGCTATCCCCAACCGCCTCAGGGCGCCATGGGCCGCACCAGCCCCATGGCTCCAGGCCAGAACCGCACCCCGCCATCGCAGATGACTGGAGGCCCTCCGCCCATCAACACAGGTGCTCCCGTCGGCTACCCGCCCAACATGAATCCCTTGGGCCAGATGCCTCCTGGAATGCCTCAGGGCGGCCCTCCTCCAGGTGCTCCCGGTTTCGGCCAGCCCACCGGATACCCTCCTGGACCACCGCCCGCGGGAGGTCCCATCGCGCAGCAGTTTCAGCAAAACAACCCGGCGGCCGAGGTCGAGGGCGCGAGCAGAAGCAAGGCCCAGCTCATTGTTGGCATCGATTTTGTTAGTAACCCCGATTCTCAAATTCTACAAGCCTGTGCTGTTCCGTAGAGCAAGAAGCAGGAGACAGGAAGCAAGAAACAAAGGAGAGAGAGAGACAGAGAAAGAGAACACGAAACAAGAAAGAAGCGCAAGAATGTGTTTGCTAACAAGACGTTTCCATAGGGTACAACCTTCTCTGGTGTTGCCTTTGCCTTTGCAACCAACAACGAGGCCAAGGAAGACATCATTACAGAATGGCCGGGCGCCGGTTCATACACCAAGCAAAAGGTGAGGAGTGCTGCACCTTGGTTGACTCTACAAGAGCATTGAAACTGACACACAAGCAGATCCCCACCGTGCTCTACTACGACCAGTACCAAAAGGTGGTTGGCTGGGGTCCAGATATCGCCGATGCTCTGGCTCCCACTGGTTACCCCAAGCCAGGAGTGCAAAAGGTTGAGTGGTTCAAGCTGCAGCTGATGCTCAGCGGCAACACATATATTGACCCCATCAACCTGCCTCCTCTGCCTCCGGGAAAGTCCGAAATCGATGTCGCCGCCGACTACCTCTTCAAGCTCCGCCAAGCCATGCGGTCATCGCTGCAAAAGACTCTCGGAGAGGTGTTTAACAGAGAAGAGCGCAACATTCGATACTACCTCACCGTGCCGGCCATCTGGAACGACGCTGGCAAGGCTGCCACTCGAGCTGCAGCCATTCAGGCCGGCTTCCTTCGCGACGAAAACGATAACCGCCTGACTCTCGTTTCTGAACCGGAAGCCGCAGCTCTGTTCTGTTCTAAGACTGGTCTGCTCAACCTCAAGGTTCACGATGCAGTCTTGATTGTTGATTGTGGTGGAGGTACTGTCGATTTGATTGCGTACGAAGTCGAGGATGAGAATCCTTTCACAGTCGCTGAGTGTACCGCTGGATCGGGTGACTCCTGTGGCTCTACCGCTCTGAACCGCAACTTTAGCAACATTCTGCGGACCAAGATTCGAAAGATGAAGCTTCCGGATGGATCCAAGACAGCCGGCCGTGTCTACGCCAAATGTATCATGGACTTTGAGAACCGAATCAAGGCCGATTTCCGAAACAACGGCCAGAAGTGGGCTGTGGACGTCGGTATCGAGGCTGAGTTCCCCGAGGCCGGCATCGAGGAAGGCTACATGACCTTTACCAATGAGGAAATTCTGCAGTGCTTTGAGCCCGTTGTCAACAGAATCTTGGAACTGGTACGAAACCAGATCATTGCCATCCAGGCTCAAAACCGGACACTGCAAAACATCCTGGTTGTTGGTGGATTTGGTGCCTCAGAGTACCTGTTCCAGCAGATCAAGCTGCATGTCCCTCCTCAGTTCCAGTCCAAGGTTGTCCGACCAATGGACTCCGTGGCCGCCATTGTCAAGGGCGCAGTCACTGCTGGTATTACGGAGCGTGTTATTACTCACCGTATTGCTCGACGCCACTACCTCATGGCCACGCTGCAGCCTTTCAAGGAGGGTTACCACCCCGAGGCCTACCGAGTGCCGTCTCTTGATGGAAAGGACCGATGCAAGTTCACCAGACAAATCTTTGTGCACAAGGGCCAGAAGGTCAAGAACGGCGAGCCTTACAAGGTCTCCTTCTTCAGACAGGTCGCTCCCGGAGCCACTCTCATGTACGAAGATGTTTTGTACGCCTGTGACGACGATGTCTGCCCCGAGTATACAAAGGATCCTCGTAAGTTTTCTCCCTTTATCATCATGATCTTTATCACTTTCCTCTTTCTATTATGAGCGAGACTAACAGGCTTATTTCTCTA